GCACATATCTGATGTATTTCCCATTTACATGATAGTGCACAAGATGACTCTTTGTTCACAGTGTCTCCCTTAATTTGACAAAAACAGAGTCCATTAAAACTGTGATTTTCTGTAACTAATTGCAGTGCACTCAAGCTAGCCTTTGAGGCCATCCTGTTCATCAGCATAACACAGGTGTGTTTACAACACATGATCCATCCATGCCCATTTAGGTGACTGTTTTCAGTATGAACATGTGCATATACACACTCTGATATGGGTAATGAACATTTTGTGCACCTAAACAGTGAGTCATGTGCTGCAGATGTATCGTGAATAGGATGTGGTGGGTGAATTTCCTGTGATCCAGCGCGTTTTCTGGCTCTGGTCTATAGATCTCGGAATGAGAACAGACAAGGCTTTTGGTCGTGTTTTTTAGCATTTGGTTTAAAATGCATCAAACATCTCTGAAACTTTCCTCTTATAAGTAATTTTTTTCTATTTTTCATCCAAGCTGTCTTCCTCCCTAAAACACAATGTCTTACAGTATATGTTTTCTTTTTCAAAACCTAAACTACTTAAAACATTTTAATTGACTGCCAGATGGCATGTTTGAAATTAGACTCTTTCTTAAATTTAAATGTATAGAGAAAAGCAATGGAGCATTAAGATGCATTTTTCTTTATTTCAGAGGTGCTCTCATTATAATGGAACAGAAATGCCCCTCAGAAGAACTGAGAGATTATTTTTATTATGCTTTTTGAAACTGCATCCAGCTGTGCAATGGTGCATATTATGGCCAATATAGATTTTTGCCCAGGGAGGCAAAGCCTTGGGTGGGGAATGGGAGGTTTATTGTTTTCCATTGCCTTTTTTTGCATGTCAGTAGCAATAATAATGTTGTGGCTACATTTGATGATGCTAATTTTGGTATTCATCCTAAAGGATTTAGTAATAAACTGAAGATCTTTTTCAGTAGTGTTCTTAAAACGTATTTGAATTCAATCCAAATGCAGAATATTTAGGTTAAAGTTAAGCAAAATTAATGACAAATTAATAAGCTTTTTTTCTTGTTTTGAAAATGGAAAAATCAATGCATCTTCTGTAGCTCCATCATTGATTGAGACCTGTAGAAAAATACATTTTTTTACAATATTCACACAATTTTTTCCCCCAATGATTGCATAATTTATTGAAAAAATATAAATTGTAAAATCTTTATACTGCCTTGCAGAGTTATAAAAAAAAGGAAGAAATTTAGCAGAACTGCCTAACTTTCCCAGACATCACTGGCTCCCTGTTCAAAGTCATGCAAAGAGATCATTACAGCAAAAACTGAGGTTAAGCTACAAAGATCTATGTCTTAAGTGGGGAAATCTGTTGTCAGGCCATCAGTTGCACGGCACACATTTGGGCTTTTAAAGCTACAGTGTGTAATAATTACAGGGATATACAGTCAGAAATGTAATATATTATACATAACTACAGGTGCTGGTCATAAAATTAGAATATCATGAAAAAGTAGATTGATTTCAGTAATTCCATTTAAAAAGTGAAACTTGTATATTATATTCATACATTACATACAAACTCATATATTTCAGATGTTTATTTTGTTTAATTTTGATGATTACAAATGACAACAAATGAAAATCTCAAATTCATCATATCAGAAAATTAGAATATTACTGAAGACCAATAAAAACAAAGGATTTATAGAAATGTTGGCCAACTGAAAAGTATGAACATGAAAAGTATGAGCATGTACAGCACTCAGTATTTAGTTGGGCCTCCTTTGGCCTGTATTACTGCAGCAATGCGGCATGGTATGGAGTCGATCAGTCTGTGGCACTGCTCAGGTGTTATGATAGCCCAGGTTGCTCTAATAGTGGCTTTTAGCTCTTCTGAATTGTTGGGTCTGGTGTATTGCATCTTCTTCTTCACAATACCCCATAGATTTTCTATGGGGTTAAGGTCAGGAGAGTTTGCTGGCCAATTAAGAACAGGGATACCATGGTCCTTCAACCAGGTACTGGTAGCTTTGGCACTGTGTGCAGGTGCCAAGTCCTGTTGGAAAATGAAATCTGCATCTCCAAAAAGTTGGTCAGCTGCAGGAAGCATGAAGTGCTCTAAAACTTCCTGGTATGTGGCTGCGTTGACCCTGGACCTCAGAAAACACAATGGACCAACACCAGCAGATGACATGGCACCCCAAACCATCACTGACTGTGGAAACTTTACACTGGACTTCAAGCAACGTGGATGAAGTGCCTCTCTTCTTTTCCTCCAGACTCTGGGACCTTGATTTCCAAAGGAAATGCAAAATTTACTTTCATCAGAGAACATGACTTTGGACCACTCACCAGCAGTCCAGTCCTGTTTCTCTTTAGCCCAGGCAAGACGCTTCTGACGCTGTCTGTGGTTCAAGAGTGGCTTGACACAAGGAATGCGACAGCAGAAACCCATGTCTTTCATACGTCTGTGTGTGGTGGTTCTTGAAGCACTCACTCCAGCTGCAGTCCACTCTTTGTGAATCTCCCCCACATTTTTGAAGGGGTTTTGTTTCACAATCCTCTCCAGGGTGCGGTTATCTCTCTTGCTTGTACACTTTTTTCGACCACATCTTTTCCTTCCCTTCGCCTCTCTATTAATGTGCTTGGACACTGAGCTCTGTGAACAGCCAGCCTCTTTAGCGATGACCTTTTGTGTCTTGCCCTCCTTGTGCAAGGTGTCGATGGTCGTCTTTTGGACAACTGTCAAGTCAGCAGTCTTCCCCATGATTGTGTAGCCTATAGAACTAGACTGAAAGACCATTTAAAGGCTTTTGCAGGTGGTTTGAGTTAATTAGCTGATTAGAGTGTGGCACCAGGGGCCATCAATTTTGAACCTTTTCACAATATTCTAATTTTCTGATATGATGAATTTGAGATTTTCATTTGTTGTCATTTGTAATCATCAAAATTAAACAAAATAAACATCTGAAATATATGAGTTTGTATGTAATGTATGAATATAATATACAAGTTTCACTTTTTAAATGGAATTACTGAAATCAATCTACTTTTTCATGATATTCTAATTTTATGACCAGCACCTGTATGTTATTTATCATCATCTATGAGCTCAGCCTCTTAACCTTAATATTTGCGTTGCCTTAGAATTCGTTATTTATAATTACATAGGAGCGGGTCTCGCAGCCATGGAGGCAGACATCTTTGCGCTACCGCAGCGCAGAGCCAACAAACTAGCGATTGCGAGATCGCCCATTACGCTCGAAAGTAACTACGGCAAGTTGAGAGAGATGAACTGAGACGGTACTGAACACACAGACTAATGAAATACTATCTGTAAAATTATCTATGTAAACAAACCTCATCACTTGAGAAGGTAGGTGATGCGGACGTCGTGGAAGACATTTTGTCCCGTAACGCTCGCCGTACTGTTGGGGGGGAGAAGCGGTGGGGGGGAGATGTTCATGTTGCTGCGGTCTGCAGTCTGGACGTTAGATGTCGCTGAAAATTACACACTGTAGCTTTAAGAAAGAAAAATAAAGCATTAGGAAGTTATATTTTAATTTGGACATATATCTTGTACAGTGAAAAAATAATTGGAGCATCATTTACTTAGAAAAAGCTAGTTAACTTTTTCCATATAGAAATTCTTTCTTTCTAAGTTGATTTTACTTACCAAGAAGAGTTGATTTACCAAACTACAAAAGTAAATTTTACTACCAAATTTCTCTTATCAACAAAAGACATTTGTTTTGATGGAACTTTTAAAACAGAAGGACAGAGACGTACAACCATAAACACACAATGATAATCTATAGAAGCAAATTTACCTAACATGTTTTTGCACTGTGGGAGGAAACCGAAGTACTGGAGCATATGCAAATGGGAGGATATGCAAACTCAATGGAGCAAAACCGATAATCAAGAGTCAAAGCCAGCACCTTCTTGCTAAAAAAATGCAGCACCATGCAGCCAGCAAATAAAAAATATTTTCTATTTCTGATCTGAACATGATCAGGCAAGGAAAAGAACACAATTTTACTCCTAATATCTAAGAACACATTACCTGCATGTGCTAACTTGGCAATTGAAAAAAAAGCTTTTGTTAATACTATTTGGCAAAATGAATTAAATTGGCTTTTCTTTTGATTGAAATAGATTTACAAATTACTTCTAAGTAACTTGTTAAATTGTCATTTTAAAGTAAAGGCACTTACTTTGCAGTAAATAAGGCAATTTTTTACAGGACAAAAGGCTCAATTTTTTGTGTGCGGACAGAGAAAACAGGAAGCAAATCTATCTATCTATCTATCTATCTATCTATCTATCTATCTATCTATCTATCTATCTATCTATCTATCTATCTATCTATCTATCTATCTATCTATCTATCTATCTATCTATCTATCTATCTATCTATCTATCTATCTATCTATCTAAACATTTTATGAGTTTTGGGGTAAAATGCATTTTAATTGGTTTGTTGCGTGGGGATAGCAACATGAACTGACCCAAGGCAACATGTCTACTGTGTTAAAATGTTCATGTACAAAACTCATAATCTTAGAATGTGGAGAACAGCAGGAGAAACTTCTCCCCCAGTAGATGTCAGTAAAACATTCGATTTTTTTTTCTGCCAATCGCAATATGAAGTTTGTGAAAAGAGTAAGAAGGAAAGAAAACAATGATCTTTAATATCGACGTGTTTATTCACATCAGATGACATATTGAGCAAATTGGCATAAACACAAACATACAGACACTTGGACGTGTTTTCCTTCTGTACGCATCAATTTTAAGGTCTGTTTAGTAAAAGAAAAATAAATAAATGTATTTTTTTAGATAAGAATGCGCGTAATGCTTCGGACTGTCCGTTTGTGTTTATTTAAATTGCATGCTGCCACTTGTTTGTTGGAATATAACAGACAGTAAAGGACTTATCGTAGACTTGGAAATGCCTGCGCACCCCATCCTTCTCCATTGCTCTCTTTCTCTTTCTCTCGGTCTGTGCCTCAACCACCCCCGAGCCCCCCTCCCCACTTTTTCCTGTGCAGCCGATGCGCTTCTTCTCTAGAACCGCGTCTCCACAGGCATGTCCTCAGACATGCAGCCACGGTGGCATGAAGCGACCCAAAAGACATCGCCAGGACAGCATCTGCGCGGGTAAGCTCCCCTCTATTCCCCCTTACATTCGGACACATCAAGTAACGCAGTTTCTAAAGCAGATCCATTAAGAGCTCAAAAATTAAAACAGATAGAGTAGACTACGGTCAAGGACATTCCCACAGGATCCAGCTGTTTCCAGTCGTTGAAGTTCAGACTTTTCAGGCGCTAAACTACAACTTGACCGTCCTTGTTCTGATATTGTCCAATTAGTCCTCAAATAACAATATTCTTGTGCGCAAATGGCCAAAAAAAAAAAAAAAAAAAGGTCAATAGATCTTTTGCAGTATTTTAGAAAGTTGTTCTTTATCATTTCTTTTTTTAAATGAAACTATAAACACACAGGATAGAAATAACTGACTTTTACGCAAAGATTGCCAGAAACTAATAATCAAGTGCTTGCTTGATGTTTGCGTGGTCAAGATGATGGAGTAGTGTTTTTCATGTCTGATGCTCAGCTGCTTGTGCCATATAGTCTTCTTCAGAAATTAAGAGGAATTAAACGATGGATGTGGGGGATTTTGTAAACCTATAGGCATGTGAATGCGTATTCCAACTATGGAACGCGATGTCTCTGCGCCAAAACTGTGCGCGATGCGAAAACGCAATTGTTTGAAGCAGACATAATATCATTTTTAGGGCATTATTAGCCACTTTTGGCTTCTTTACAAACACGCGTTGTTTGGTGATTTCAAGGAAAGAATCAAAAAGAAAACGACACCAAAAAAAAAAAGAAATTTTTTTTTGCGCTGCTAGTGCGCTTTGGATACATGCGCTCTGCTCCTCGCTGCTTGCAAAAGCAACTTGCTTCTTAAATGTACATTTACCTTGAACCATGAAGATCAAAATCAAGTTTTTTTTCAATCTCCAATATCTCACGTTTAAGAAAACAACGAATTTTTAAAGGTATAGTTGCCTAAAACAGATCTTGTTACAGAATGCTGACTCGGTTTTATAAGATTAACGTTTTTGATTGTTTCATTTTTAAAGCTTGTGTCTTCATCTCTAACTGACGCGCTCATATTATGGATCCTGTTTTAGGCAATTGTGAAATCATCGATATTTAAACATTTATTGTAACCTTTACTGATAATCTTCATGTCCGTTTTATTCTTAAAATGGGATAATAGAGGATTTGCGTCGCAGCCGCGCCAGATGTGCGTAAAACGGCGCAACAGATTGGATTTTGGACACGTCTGTCTGTCTGTTTCACTGGTTTACATTATTATAAATAGTATACATTCAGCTGGCGGCTTTAAGGCTATATGTAATACAGTGAAGGTATTTTCCCTCCTTAAAAAGGGGTGTACCATTTATTTTGTCCAAATGCTTTTTATTTCTTTTTTTAACCGAAAATGAACTTGGAGCAATTTCATGGTGTCTGTTTAAAGGAAAATGTGGCTGATTTTTCTCCTCCTATGTTTGCTGGGGTCATGCAGTATGGTGATTGTTGGGAAGATGCTTTAAGATTCTGATAATTAATCACTTAGATGTTTTAGAAAATCCAATTGAATTTAACAGATTTGGAAAAAAATATTTGAACATAATGGGGAGGGGTTGCTTTGGCTGATTGAGGGGAACATTTTTCCACGATTCAGACCGTTTAATTGTTTAGTTCTGAGAAGAATTTGATGTCAGGGTTTCGTACTTAGAAAAGCTGGAAGCCAAAACCACTGTTTCCTCTCTTACTTGGGGTTGTACGTTTGAATGAGCTCTGTGGCTTGACCTTGATTGAGTTACCAGCTGTAATTGGTCTTGTTCAAGAAGTTGGCTGGTGTCACCTTTGATGGTCGCATGTCATGTGGAAAAGTCAATTCTGTGCTTAGCTCTGAAGTTACACAAGTTCAATGATAATACATGTAGATTGGAGTATTAAAATGCAGTTTATGATTAATAAATGCCATATTGTGTAATTTACAACAGAAGTTGAGGCTATGGGGTCTCATTATTCCAGTTACCAGTAAATGGAATATAAACATTTTTGAATTGTTAAGTTTAGTGTTTTCCCAAAAAGATTGCTCTATAGAAACTAACTTTTATTGCTTACATTTTTCATATTAAGGTTTATATTTAACAATTTTTGAAAAACAAAGAATTGAGAATGTAAGTTTGCTGTTCTTTAAAGAATATTCCAATGGAAAAACACAGAACTTTAACTGGTGACTGATGCTTTTCAGTTTCCATGAAGGTCTTTGATGAAAGCCTACTGGGCAACTTTATATAAATGTTGCATTTCTAACCACACATTCCTATCTTGCTGCCCACAAGCATGGCAAGGACCATATTTAGGAGGATCCAGCTCCTTTGAGCCAGAGCCAAGGGCCCTTTGTAGCTGGCAGCCCACCTAAACAGATTTCTTTTAAACATGCACATAAAATAGATTGGTACTTATGTCCAACTGCAGGACGCTGCCTAGATTTGTTTTTAGACAGTCCATTTATCTTTTCTAGAAGATTAATATAAAACAGCAGAAATTTTCAGAAAGGTATGTATCTAGAACCTCTGGAGATTGTTTCACAAAGAACAAATCTATAACTAATGAGGAATATTATGGACAATGTATCCTCTTCAGAAGTCTAACAGTGACACAGTGGCTTCATTCAAAGACTTCATTAATTACAAGACAGATAACTACACAAGTTCCTATCTGGCTACAGGTATTGGCATATATACAACTCACAAATTGAAATTCAAATTCAACTTTACAAAAAATGACCAAGAAAATATTGAAACAACAATATCAGGTCTTTATTTGGTGATGTGTCAAAGTTTCAAAAATATTTCTTAATTCTGGCATACAGATTGTGTCTATCACTGAAAACAAGATGTTTAACCCTATAATGCCAAACGTATCGTATTTGATACATACAGTTTTTGAAATGTTTTGCGTCTAACACCTTTTGCATAATTTAATGGTAAAAACTTTGCTCAAAATCCTGTTGTACACAATCAGATATACCTGATAACACAAAAATAATCTTGACTTATCGCATAGTAATAAATTATTAATATCAAAAATGTATTTCTGTTTTTTCTTTTTACATATTTTGTTAAAAGGCCAAATAAGGAATTCAGACGAAAAAAAAAAAAGTAATTTTTTGTTTTGTTTTATTCTTGGATCGGGCTTTAAAGGGTTAAATAAAGATTAGTCAAAAAAATGTAATCAACCTTTAAATGGCCAGACCATCTTTTCTCAGCATGTTCTGAATCTTGTCTTGTTTTGGTTTGGTTAGAAAGAGGATTTTGATGTCTTTAATCTACTGCTCCCAAAACGTCTTGGTTATGGATTACGTCTACTCTGAGCCCTTGTTTAAAATTGGACCTATAGGTCTTAGCAACAATTATTTTAGCTTGTCATACTGTGAAACTTTTGAGAGAAGTACTGGACTTGTGATTGTCAGTTACCACTAATGACGTCTTCCTCCATGAGTGATAGATTAGTTTTACTTTCTGTGACTGTAGAGCTGTTTGATTGGCTTTTTTGGTTGTTGTTGTTGCAGCCGTTGCAACTCATCAACTCACAATGTAGATGGTCTAACCCAAAGGAATCTGTGATTACAAATAATGAACTCAGAGTCACATATTCTTGGCAGGCAATCATGAATAAATATGTTTGTTTTCACAGATCAAAGTAAGATGACTGTTGTCTATGAGGTGCCCCCAGGGACATAAATCAGAATTAACTTGCATATACACATATTAAATTACACTCTTCCATATAATATACTGAAAACCTCACACAAACACTAGTAAAAAGCTCTCACATAAACTAGTGAAAACATTGACCTCTTATATAATCTACTTAAAAGCTCTCATACAAAGTAGTGAGAACTGTTCATATAAACTGGTGAAAAGCTTTACCTTTCATACAGACTACTAGAAAGCTTTCATATACACTATTAAAAAGCTCTCATATACACTATTAGAACGCTCTCATATACAGTATTAGAATGCTCTCATATACACTATTAGAAAGCTCTCATATACACTATTAGAACGCTCTCATATACACTATTAGAACGCTCTCATATACACTATTAGAAAGCTCTCATATACACTACTAGAACGCTCTCATAAACACTATTAGAACGCTCTCATAAACACTATTAGAACGCTCTCATAAACACTATTAGAACGCTCTCATAAACACTATTAGAACGCTCTCATAAACACTATTAGAAAGCTCTCATATACACTATTAGAAAGCTCTCATACACGCTACTAGAAAGCTCTCATACACACTACTGAAAAGCTATTAGCGGATTTCAGTTGAAACGGAAGGTGTTTCAGTTGAAACGGAAGGTGTTTCAGTAAAACAGGAAGGACCGTCATTACACCGGAAGTTGTTTTAAACGGAGGTCATTCTGGCTAGCTCCGTACATTTTGTGCTATCTCCGGCCGAAATTGTATCAAATAAAATTATTGATTCATGCTCAGCTATCCGCTAAACAACTCACAGAAGCACGGGCATTACTCGACTTTATTTTTTATGTTTTTGCTCCAACAGAGATCCTTTTCCGGTGATGTGCGAAATTCTGTTCCCATGTGAAAATCTGTTCCACCTGTGTCGGGAGCGCGCCGCGCATTGCAGCCACATAAGCGGATCTGATCATTTCCCAGGCCTTTCGGATCATTTCTTGGTTAAATAAAAAGTCGTAAAATTATACAAGGTGAGACATTTAGTTTAATCAGCCGCTGTTGTTTACAAAATTGTAAAATAAAAAAAAATAAATGCGGTTTTCTTATGCTGTTTTGTGTTGTTATTTTAAACGCCAAGAGAATCAGTCTCTTTCCAAGTTTTTTCACTTCAGCCTGACAGAAATAAAAGTCAAGTCACCAAATACCAAATTTGTATTTATAATTTTTTATTACTGATATAAGATGATGGGAAGTGCCTGATAGCAGTTCCATAATATGGAAACAAATTAATTTAGCTGCAAATCTTAAACTGTGTTTATTCCTCTCTTCATCAACAACAAACCATCTGGATTCGGTGATAT